TGGCATGTACACTCCTCTAACGGAAACTTGGGGTGAATACCAGAAATATTCGACGAGAGAACCTGTGGGGGGGGGGGGGGGGGGAAGTCACGCTCTCTCCCATCCATGTGCTTGCGTTCCTTACCATAACGTGTGTGGTCATAAGTTCCCAACCGTCATCGTGTCGACTCTCATAGTGTTTACGTTGTTCCAGAGCGTGCGTCATCTTGCGCAACCTTTGCCAGTCGGCTGGGGGCGATGGCGCATGGCTGATAGACGGGATGGCGGCTCTGCCCGCAGAGCAAGACAATGTTGAATACGATCCCATCGGGGAAGTGGAGCCGGTGGGCCGGGACGCGGCAGCCCAAAGACGCGCTGGCTTCGCCAGACGCGTAGAGCTAGTGCGGCTTTTTCGGCGATAGGGGCTAGTTTATTTGTTATGTTAGTTATGTGTCAGGAAAACTTTGCGTGTTAGACTATCTCATTTATGCATCATACAATTTGAGTTATTTGTTGACATCATATACATTATTGCTCGTAAAATGCCTGTATCATACACGCCACCGAAGACATACGCCTGCATCAAAGGACGGTAACTCAAGCAGTGCATGTTTTTTGCATTGCATTGAGGAAAAACAATTGACGCACTAACAAGTGTTCTCACACTCCATTACTACCAACAAATGTCTCAAACTCAAGTATTTTCAAGAGACAAAACATAATAAGCCAAAGATATGTCAATAGCGTTTAGAGCGTAATTTACCAGTCACCGATGCAAAGTCGCTCTATTACCACAACCAACGACAGAACAAGACCAGTGGTGGGCAACTAACACGTGACGAGCAGAAGGTAAATGCCAGCCCCACAAAACCAAGCCAGGAGCGCGACAGCGTAATTTAAAAAGATAATTTTGATGAGCCCATGACAAGGTCCAAAAATGCCGCACTAGGCATGTCTCCGCCGACTTTGAGGCGTTGTGCCAAAATTTCCAGGAAACGGCTCTCGTTTATCGTCCGCAATCGCGCCCTTCCCTCGTCTGTTCGGTCCGAGTCCGGGATAGCCAAAAGAGCGTAGTAGCGAGTGCGGGACTCGCTCTCTCCTGGCTGGGACCAGGCGGCGTGGCAGTTACCTCCCGCGCGGAACGGTGCGCTCGCCCACCACCGGTCTGCGGCTGTTGTTGGCGACGGGATGGAGCGACTCGGCATCCGTGGCTGGCGTCAGGCTGTAAGTTTTGCCAAAATCAATTGGAAATTGTGCAGGATCAGCGGGTGCCGTCAATGGTGGCGATGCCGACTGGTTATGCACCTCCAGCAAGGGGCGATCGTTGCTGTATTCTTGCATTGATATGAAGGCACCCGGCACCGCCGTGATGTCTTCGTCAGCGTCTTTCCTGAAGCCGCGATGGAATTTACGTTGAGATTATTTTAGATCAGCACAGCGGGTAAAGGCTATCTGCATTCACTATGTCGATGAGGCGACACACCCGTTCTTCCTCGCGAACCCTGGACGTATGCTGCCCACGTAACGGCGGTGCGCATTCAGCAATATCAAGCATGCACGGGTAATACCTACCAATTATGTAGAGAACATCATCCAGCTCATCCAGCTGGTCGTCGCCTCCCTCGCCACTTCGTCTCAGGCGATCGCGCTTTTCTGTGGACAACAAATTGACGCAGTGGAGTATTCCCGTTTAACGCCTAGTGCAGTTCAGCTAGCCGTCCTGACCTCAGCCTTCATGGGGTCAGGAAGTCCTGTTAAATGGATTAATTTATGAGGCAGTCGGTGTCTTCCTTCGTGTCTCCGCTTCTCAGCTAGATAGGGACCTGACGACCTAACTTTCGTGATTTGTTTCCGGTCAACAGGGGCGGATCTAGCCCGGTGTTTTTTTAGGGGGGGGGGGGGCAACCGTTCGTCATCAGCTGGCTGATGTGGGATCCGAGGTCCAGTGCATGGTGCCTCTCGCGAGTACCTAGGAGGAACACCATTCAAAACCGAAGAAAGCACCAAAAAGTTTTTGAATCTTAAACAGAAGTTAAAACAAAAATAGTTAAAACAGTTTAAGTCAAAACAAACGGTAAGTAAACGAAACTTTTATGAAGTTCTGGGAATGTTTTTTTGGGGGGGGGCCAAAACATATTCTCGGGAGTTTCTTTTTGGGGGGGGGGGCCGTCCCCGTGCCCTCCCCCAGGATCCGCCTATGCCAGTCAGCCAACACAAAGCCCGCATAGGTCTCGCTCCCCCCCCCCCCCCCCCGCTCTCTCACTTCTCTCGTTTGCCCCCCGCCTGTTACGGCTCAAGAATCAAACATCCTGAGCGTCCCGGAGGCTAAATTTTGCCAGCGCCGTGCCATGTACTTATCATCCCAATTTATTGTGTCACTACCAATGAAATCTAAAGTTAACAATTCGGAGATATTCACTATTCTCACCACAGCATAGTACTACTCATTTGCAGGTTTCATCTCAACTATTTTAAAGCGCTTATTATTTATGGCGGCGTGGGTTATTTCCGCCACCTCCCTGCTGAGGCGTGGTTGTAGGTGCGCTTCATTTGACCTAACTAGCCATAAACTAGCAATCATAGCGAATCCGTGGTTGTAATGCACTACCATAAGTACAGTATCTTGAACACGCGAATGAAATGGATCAGCCTGGCTGTGGCAATTTCAGGCCACAGTCGACATGCGCGATGTAGCCCGCTGCCATGCGGCCGGGCCACTGCGAGCAGACAGCCGCCGCGCAAGGCAAGGCAATGAAGTGAGCAATGACGAAACAGACGCACCCACAGCGAGTGGTGCGGGCCATTCTGCCAGAGGAGCTACCCTATGCTCGGGCGCGGAGCTCTTATTTCAGCGGCAGTGTCAGAGCAGTCTTGGCCCTGTAATGAAATCAAGCAATCAGGGTCCAGCTGTGCCAATGGCCAGGTGCAATCGTCACTTATATGTGCTAACCAAGCAACAGTGATGCGCACATATCGCATGGAGGTTTTTTTTTTTAAATTTACGCAGCAAGCAGTTTGTGCAGGTCTTACCTCGCGTGGACCGCAACTAGTGGCATAGAGCCCGTGACATAAGCCACGGGCGTCCATGCTGCCCTTCACAAGGCCTAATTGCTTGGCCAGGTCCAGCACGGCATCCAAGCCAGTCTGCCGCCTGGCCTGGCCACTGCAGGACTGGAATCGTCCCAAAAGTATCTGCGAGGTATGGGGACACCGCGCGTTTATTGAACAATCCGGGCTAATAAAGCATTTAAAATGGGAACTTGAAGCAGTTAAAACGGAAAATGGCCAAAGCGTAACGAAATTTACGGCGATCACCTTTTGAGCGTGTCATGATAAGAACAGGCTTTAGTTCGACCCTCCCCACCCAGAATTAAAAAGCAATGTTGGACAGCTTCACTGTCGGGAAAAGTTTGCTTCGGAACATTTCTGAATGTGCATGCCAATTTGTCTTTGACAAAATGTTCAATGAGAGGGCAACATAACGCACACATTTCCACAATATCCATTATTACATGTTTAGGAGTACTTGTGCGACCAACGTATTTAACCCGGTATTGCACGAATGTATTTAAGCCTCACTATCTGAAAAAAGAACCTACGTCCTTCCTGTCCCGAATCTCTCTAAAAAGCTGGGCCTTCTTCTTGCGTAGTCACCCGCGAACTCATCTTCAACACACTATAACCTCGCAACGACTGCGCCGAAAATAGATGAGGTCACTATAAAACACTTGGCACTTCATTCATCGCCTGGCGCCGGCGTTACCACAACAGACGTAGCTATGGCAGCGAACTTCGAGATGCAGGGAGGAAAACTACGCCAATTGACAACTTACAAGCTGCGACAAAGGTCACGTGACAGCTTTGAGAAACCGGCTTAATGTGTAGTTTGTAAATTCGAAAGTACACATTAATTCTTAGCGTAAGATTGTACTTTCGCTTTGGGAAACTGGCTACAGGTCTTTTACGAATGCCCCATTGTTGTTGATATTTAGAACAAGGACATTGTGTGGCTGCTCGTGGTATTGAGGAGCTCATGCTAGAGTGTGTTATGCATAAATAAAGGTGATCTGTGCAGTGGGAGCTGTCTAGCTGTTGCAAAAAAGTTCGCTCTCCTCTGCTGCCGGCAGATTGAAACTTCTACCTCTTTAAAACCATGAAATCTGCATTTCAAACAAGACGAGCAGAGTGGTGGCTATCTGCGCGGCGGGTTCAAAATCAATTTCCCTAACCTGCCCATGACTATTGAATACCTTTCAAACGTCGCAGTATTGTGACAAGCATCAGGTTTTGATCTCTTCAGGCACTAAGACAACCCAATGCAACATTAGAAGTGATTATATTGGATTCCTGTGGGATGAGAAACTCGGAAGCATGTTTTACATGGCTAGCTTACTGCTTGCCATGTTGACCCCCTATGACCCCATTTTGGCATCCTACCTTCATCTAAGAACTGACCAGAAAATATTGCAGCCAACGTTTAAGCTGCATAACGCGAGCAAGATGAATGTGAAAAATGTTGGATCATAGGTTGCATGAATACACCAAATTATCACGCCAACCTTGAATGAAATTACCTTGACCTGACCCCGCGGTGGCATCTACGTGTCTGTAACACAGCATCCTCACTTAGCCAGAGCGTATACTTTTGAAGAAATGAAACGCCTCAATTAACCCTGTCCCTGGAAACACGTAACGGGGGTTTGCAGGCCTTTGTTGCCCTGACATTGACCTTTCGTGTCAGCATGATTTCCAATTCTTGCTTCTTTAAGATACTCACGTTAACTTTTTCATATTCACACATCTATTAGGCAACGAGTTCCCGAAACAGCTTTGTGGGTTTTGTCTCCCGGCTTTCCAGCCCGAGGCGCTCGGCTGAGACACAGCCAATTAATGATTTATCAACCTTGCAGCTGATGATAAGTCCTGTTCGGAGGAGAAATCAGTCTGCTATGATCCAACCAACGATATTTGGCGGTTTCCAGTCTCAGAACAGTTTCAAAAAGCCAAGCAAACTGCGGTAGGCATATATCCGCTGTTGACCATTACGTGCCTAGTACACTTGTTACGGTCATCAGTCGAAACATGAAAATTTGGCCGGACGGTTATACCTTTCGTCCTTGACCACAACTTGCCTTGCTCCGCATTGAAGTGCCTGGATACGTCGCTGTCCCTGCGACCTCCGGGAAGACGTGGTAGCGTCCTAGCCCATTTCTCACCAGATTATATTCCTGACAAAGAACAGGCACTCTATTTAGCGACCGAAGTTCGTCAAGCACACAACCAAGTTGCCAGCATTACCATGCTACTTCAAATCTAACGATGCTATTTTCATTACATCCAAGGTGTTACCCATTTACAAAACGAAGCATACAGCACCGCTGGCACGCATAATTATCGAACCATCGACTTATGCCCACCACTCTACTCAGTAACATACTACCCAAAGCTACTAGATAAAGCTACGCAGACGTGACGGCACCATGGGACAAGTTCGGAAGCCCGTAGTACGGTTTTTGGTTGATACTACGCCAAGGTTGGGAGACACTAGGAACACGACTACGGAGATTTCGCCAATGCACAAGGCAGCAATCCCGTTCTACACCCTTATTTCAGTGCTTTGGAAGGATATATCGTACATTCTGCATGCCCAACCTACTAATCTGTACAACGATCTGTCTCCAAGAACGATCATGCTAATCCCAGTCTCAAAGTTCTCATACCCACACCGTATGCGTCGTAGGTCAACGTGACTGAATAGTTGTGCGTAATGCCGCTTTGAAAAATGTATATTTACTTGTAAATAAGGGGATGTCAGGTGTAATGTTCACATTAAATACATAAACGGGCAGTAATCGCCCGTTTATCGCCGTACTGCAGCACCCATACCGGAGTACAATGTGAAAATAGCCGTGGTGCGCCAAAAATTTCACTACTGCTCTGATTTGATATTCAGTCGTTGGTTGGCTCGTACATCCATGTCAGATGGGCTAGGTGAAAAAGGTGCAAGGGGAATAGTACCTCGACTACCCTTGTGCGTCCCCAGGATTATTTCCCAGCTGAGATATCGGCTACCACTCCTTGAATGGCAGAAATGGAAGAAGTTGCCAAAAATTGTACCGTTTAACAGGAAAACCTGCATCTTAAACTGAAAAGGTGCGCTCAGCATTTCCGCCTTCCAAGGTTAACCCATCACTGCCCCATTAATGCCAGTCAACCCTACGTACACGCTGGCAGCGCCCCTCCTAAGTCTACAGAACGTACCTCCCAATTTCTCGATTGCGCGTCCCAGGGTGCGGCGAGCCCGTCCGTTCCGCCGTTTGTCATCTCCACCCCACGTTGCTATATGCTGTACTCTTTTACAGTGTTTCTAGGCACTTCCGGCCAGAGCTCTTTCTCGATGGGATGCGAGTGCCAGTGATACTGGCAGACCAGGGCTTAACACGCAAAAATGACTTGTACGCGCATGCATGATACCACCTACACCCTCCAGGCGTTTAGGTGGTATTACCCAGTGGTACCAATACGCGTATCTGGTCCCCTGTTGATAGTGCCCGTGATAAGTTTTCGGGCAGCCCGGCTGCTAGGAGAATATTGTCCACATACCAGCATTCCGTAACTGCCGAAGTAAGCTGCCGCTCGGCGGCTGTCGCTAATATGCCACGGCGTCGCGTCATCAGTACCAATAACGCCACACAGAGCCTTAGCATCCCCTAACACCCCATCATAGTATCCAACGACATCACGCGAGACAAATCTTATGACTGGACCCGTCGCCGTCCACGTCTGCGGGAATACGGTTTAGCATCCCGCAAATAAGCTCATCCATCACGCACCCAAACCCCCCGCATTACTGCATTCTGGGTAGCGATGCTGGGCGCCGGGACTTATGGCACCAACGCTATGGCGGCGTGAAAATGCTGGGCTCAATGGGATGATTAGACAAATATTGCCATAAACCGATCTTTGTTCGTTGTAGCACATTCAATGAAACATTTTTCAGGTCGGAAATGGCGTTGGTTTGCACCAGAGCTACAAAATTATTGCTGAAATGCGTTTCCAGTCTGCCCCCGACACAGCGACGGGAAACCCATTCACAAGTGATTTATACCGCAGACTAGTCGGAGGGGCTTAGAAACAGTCTGTGTAAAACGTGCAGCATGCAACAACATAGGGTGGAGATATGGCGAGTCAAGAGGCTAGCAGAACCCTGGGACGCGCTTTGAGAAGTTGGAATGCACATCCTGTAACGTTGTGGGGAGGATAGGTGCAAGATTGATCTGCCTTAATGGGGGGTAGTGAGTGGTGAACCCCGGGAAACTTAAATACAGGGCGTGCCGTTTCAGTTCAGAGAAGCAGATTTTCGTTTAAAATGGGCCGATTTCTATCAAGTTACACAATTTCTACTAGTCAAAGAGCCGTGGCCCATATCTTAGCTCCGAAATAGTATTGTGGATATACTGGGGCGGTCGCGGTATTGATCACTACGCACCATTGTTACCTAACCCATTAATATTTTAAATCTGCAAGTTAACGAACACCTAAGATCATAGCTCAGGAATAGCGAAGTTCTTGGCAACTGTCCTGCTGACATTAACTTATTTTACATTTTACTCCATATAGGTACTGCAGTACCAAGATATATGAACAATCATTGCCCGTCAATGAGCTTTACGTAGACGTTACATCTGATGTCCATTCAGTTACATAAAAATACCCGTTACAAGAAAAATGCATTGCGTATATATATATATATATGAATTCAGAACGTGTTTTAGCGGGATCTATTTCGAAATGAGATCATAGTTATCTGTCTTTAGCAGGTTTGAAATGTAGAACTATAACATCGATTTATATACCATTAAGATCTAGTTGTGAAACAGGATTGCCACCCAGTTCATTGGCGAAATTCTGTTGTGGATCATGCAACCAGCAGCTACCAAACTAAGTAATATCAGCCAAGAACCATAATTGCGGGCTACCAAACTTCAGCCCCCTGGTGACGTCACGTCTTCGTAGTCCTGTACTACAGCTAGATGACGTGTGAAGGCTGGTTACATTGGTAGAGTACCAGGCTACCTGATTGAAATGCTGCGTGGACGTGACGTTACCATAGGATTAAAGTTTGGTCGCCCGTGGCATGGTTTCCGTTCATGCAACGAAAAAGTTGATAGAGTAACGTGATTAAAAACGGAGACTTCGCCGATTTACTGGTTAGCAATCCTGCTCTGCATCTTCATTTTTATGTTACGTGCATCAGTGATGTATATTTTACAATTTAACACCTGTTTTAAAGCGTTGTTGAAAGCTCAGTGCTAGGATTGGCTTCCAAAAAGATATTCATTTAAATATTTTCCAGGTTCAGCACCCGCACCATATTCGTCGTTGGCAACAAGGCTGAACATTTATATGTAATGTATCCTTGTGAAATGAACATTACGTTGAAAATTAATGGATATAACGTGTAACGCATCCAGGGGAGGGAGGTGTCTGAATCAAAGCACCGGATTTTAGAGCACTTATTGTGATAAAAGACATTGTTCTTGCTGAATCCGCTACCACTGCCCCAAACTTTTTTCTGCGGAGCTACGCCCCAATTCCAAGGCCAGAAACACAGACGTCCGTGGTGGCAGGACTATCCACAGGGGCCAAGAATGAACAAAAAATCAGAGCTTAGCATCATCGGTCGCGATTGGGCATGCAAATGGCCTCCGGCTCCGCAACGGATAGATGGCGCATTCCATGTTAGCTCAATGTACAACCAGGCGGACACAAAGCATTGCACTCGTACTGCAGCGACAGCTTTCTGCAGAAATGTGCGACGGACGGTTGAGCTGATGCATAGGATAGTTCGAAAGGGTAAACACCACCACCACCACCAACCCACTTTCGGCCGGCACATCCGCTGACGACCAGGAGGTCCTCAACATTCGATAAGGGGAGCACCGCGGTGCCTTTACATTAAAGCTGCTTGCACCTCGTTCTAAAGCTGTGCTGACGACTTCACGCAAACCTCCGGCTGATAAGCGCCGCCGACAGCACGGCCACGGCCGATGGACGCAGGCAGTAACAATGTCACTGTGCCACCGCCGCTGTGCTGACCGAGGCGGCACTGCCGGCCTCGGGCAACAGTGACGGCCAGCTCTTGACGGCCACCATCGCGGTGAGTACTAAACGTCTGACACAATGGGCCATGCCAGGGACAAACTCCGCCGCTAAAGGCGCTGGCAGACTTGAAGCCCATCACTGAAAACCAATTGTTGACGCTTTACTGCGTCAAAAATGAAACGACTATATATATATATATATATATATATATATATATATATATATACTTGCGAAATGACGTCATTATAGGGACACTGTCCTTACCAGACTGCGCTGACGTCATTCATGGTATAATGCTTTGTGGATGTCGTGCCCAATAACCTGAGAAGACCTTTGGAGTTTGTTAGTGAGAGGTTGGATTGGATGTGAACATTATTTTGGTTATTTTAGTGCCTGTTCTCCGATCTTTTGGCCGAGTTGAAATTATGGAGGGCTATGGGCAGATTCTTTTAGAGCAACTGCGAGAACTATTGTGTCGGAAAGGAAACAAAGTCACTGGCAAGAAGCAGGAACTTGTTGACAAGCTCATCGCCTATGACAGAAATTCAAGGGAAAGTTTGTGAAGTCGGTTTTAATAGGAAGTGCATGTGAAGCCATGAACTTTCAAGGAGAAGTGAAAATAGATATGAAAAAACTGATGACATACACAGTGGCCCTGGCCATTGATCATGCTGGATCAGTCAAACATGCACGGTGTGAGCGTGCGGCTGGGAGTGGCCTGAATGCGAAGTGCAAGCACATTCATGTACTTCTGTTCGCATTTGAGCACTTTGTGAGAACCGGTGAGTTGCTCCTGGAAAAACCTGTACTGAGGTAGGAAAGGTATGGAACAAACCCTGCAAAAGGCAACTGGTAACCTCGCCAATCACGCGTCAAAACATGACACACAAGGTGGAACAATTTTGAAAAGATGGTCAGGCATGCTCACCCCCAAAACTTGAAAGCTGTCAGGAGGTAACAAGACCAGAAATAAGCATGTCTGAAACAGCCAGATTCCGTAGTTTAGTGACAAATTATGAGTGTGTCACAGGAGTCAAGCTGGGTGGATCTGCACTGTTTGCAAATGCTGCCAAAGTCACCCATGTTGCACAAGACCACGAGTATCTGCAGGAGGACGTAGGGT